ATTTAAACTTTCAGATTTCTGGTAGCATTGCTCATCCCATAGCATTAACAGACTAAGAATTATATTTCCAGCAGTTAGATTTTAAGGTTTTAATTTGTTTCAGGTTTGATAACGGATTGATTTCAGTTAGAGAGCCACTGAAAACCAATGAGTATTGGACAGTTGTTTCGTTCTAACATGAGACTATTTCCTTGCACACAACCATGATCCTACAGCTAAAGATTGAATCCCGAACCTTTTGGTTACAAGGCTATGCTCGTTCACCATTCAGCCACTTGGAATGAAATTTAATGGGACAGGAATTCTAACCTTTGTCGATTAACAATTTTAACACTACCACCAGCCAGTATCATCGGTTAACTTTCTTCCTCACACATGACCTGTTCAACCTCCGGTAATTTGAACGTTTTGGGTTCAGCCCCGTTGGGGTTATGGGCACGTACAGATGAAGAGTCCTAAAGAAGGAGGATGAAACGGCTGTCTAGTACTCCTTGATTTTTTATGATTCTCTGACATCACTCCGTTTGGCTTTCTTCCTTCCTTCGTTTCTTTTTCTATTTAGTTTTTCTGCCTAAAAATTCGTAACTACAACATTTTTATATACAGTATTCTTATTTCCGAGAACTTCCAAACATTCTACTGGATGTCTGCACCTACATAAAATGATACTTAAAAGCCATTTTTATGTATCGTTAGTATTACTGTTACTCATGTTAATATATATCTTTTGTGCACTGAATACTGTTTTAGAACTAACTATCCACCGAAAACATTCAAAAATCTTTCAAGAAGCTGTCGTATACCTAACACCTCATGATCCTTTCTTGACTAGTTATATCAATAACTCACTTCATGGTATTTTCGCACTTACATACAGCTTACCTTTTCTGACTTACCAATACTAATCCTCTTACTTGGCAGTTTGAAACTCATCTAAAGCTGGACATCTTTAAATCCATAAATATATTCCACGTTAAAGTGAATATATATTCATGGAATAGGTAGCTATCATGATTATAACCCATCCACATCAAAAACAACCACCTCAGCTAAACACTTTTTTCATTATTTCAAAATAGACCGGAAAGCGCATTGTTTGTTCAGAATATATCAAGCTTTGAAATTGTATAATGACATAACAGTAGACCAGTGACTGTCATGTTGTGTATGATTTCACGTCATTATTTTTTATTTTTTGCAGCATACACTGATAAATTATTATCTAGGGGATGAAGCTTCGAGTACTGCTTACTGCTCATAATTAAACGGGTGAATAACTCTCTGTCGAAAGAGATCTTGCATACTCCTGAACACAAGAGTTCTACTTCACTGTCTGTTGAGTTAGAAATCTGACCAGTTAGTCAACAAATTTATATTTTAAGAAATCAACCAAATATGAGGAAACATCACTAGCACAAGCAATGAATGCATACACCATGAGTAGAGAATATCCTATTTATAGTTGGACAAGCAAATAGCTTAGAAAGCAAATAGATAACATTGCGTAACATGCGTTCCTGACGAAAAATTATTTAGTAATTACATGCATAGTTGTTAATCTCTAGTACTCTAGTTTTAACTCTCTCTCGTTACGTCGCTTTCAGGGGGCCATGAGTTATCATAATGCCAAATATTTTCTCCATTGAGAAATATGAACTCTAAAATAGTGAACTACTACTTAATGACATTTAGCAAGATTCCATTTAGAAAGTAATCATAACTCTCAAAACAAATAAATTTTAGAATGTAGGTAATGATTGCATTGCGCATAGTAGATAATTTAGTACTGAAAGAAACTGCAATGGGTCTGACGTATATTTTGGAGACTGTTGATAGAAATCACGTGCCAAGCTATCAAGTATAACCCAAATAAAAAGGACGAATTAACCGTCCAAGGGTGAGATGGTAAGGATCACGTGAGGCGGAGTGGACAGCTTATGATCGCTTGTGGAGCCAGCTAAAAAAGACTAATGTTCTCTTCGTGATCCAAGGGTATAAAAATGACACCAATGCTACCACCAAGCTACAATTCAAAGGAGAAAAATCTCAATTTTTAGGTCAGCCAACTTATAAGATTGGAACTCAAGCAGGATTCAGACATTTTAGTCTACTCAGATAAAATATTATGCGGATTAAGAATGAAACTGACTAAATTAGACAAAGTTATTTAATTTTCCAAATATCTAATAAATGTGCGACTAAATACATAAGTTGGATAAGTCGATAGGAGTTAACCAGGTTATTGGAACATAGGAATTCAACCAAGTAAAGAAAGTTAAAGCGGACTAAAACAAATAGTTTGAAAGTTGGACAACTGAGATGCAAATGCCAACACGTAATCAAAAAAATAGAATCAGATTGAGTATCAGTCTTATAAAGTATTAAAGTTCGAGGGAAAATAGAGAAACTAATCACTAAATCATTGTTTATCAAATCACAACCCAACATATGCAGTAGGAATGACTTAAAACGGAAAAAGAGATATTTGGAAAATTTCACTACGAAAAAAATTTAAGAAACAATGGAACAATGAAAGAAATAAGTTAGAATACTAAGCAACTACGTGCAAACGATTTGAGATAGTAATTTTACCCCAAATGTATGTTATTCTAAGTAAACCTACATTTAAAAGCAACTCTTCTTCGTTAAAGCAATGGAGTGTCACAGCTTTCTTATTCTTATTCTTTAATCTTCCTTCCTACTCTTAGATCAATAACAACTTTATTTTATGACTGGTTTGACTATTAGATGTGCGATCAGATCATCAGAAATACAGTGTACAAATGCCTCACATTTCAAAATGAACATTAATACATTCCGAATTTAGTAAATAAAGATAAACCTTTGGCTATTTATTCCGATGGCGCCATAAGACAGATTTTTTTATGTGATTCTATTAGAACTGCTGCCAAAAAAAGAACTTTTGTCATCCACTTATTCAGTAGTATGCTTCCTAAATTATATTTTTCAAGAAACTATCAACCAAGTTATAAATTATTTATAATAATCCCAAGTCTATCCCTTCTCTTTCATTTACTGCATTCGATGTAGTTAAGATATTCAAGTCTTCAAAAGTCAGCCTTTCTTCGTGTCAATGAAAGTCTCTTCCTAGGATTTTGATATTTTCGGAGTCCATCCTATGATCGCTGTCTGTAGAATGCACTGCTATAGCTGATCTATTTTCGAGACTTTTTAATTCTACTTCATTTCTAGGTGGACGTTTCGTGCATAGTCTGCTTAGATTCACTCTGATCTTCACCTGTCTACTGCTCTCCCCTATATAGCAAGCTTCACATTCTGAACACTTCATCCTATAGACAAAATTACTTTGTGACATTTTTGGAAGCATATCTTTGACATTCACCAAAGCCTTCCCTAGAGAATTATAGGGCTTGAAATAGACTTTAATACTATATGAAGCAAATAGTCTTTGAAATCGTTCAGCTGTGTCCTTTCAATATCCAATGGCTATTGTCGATAGCGAAGATTTTTCAATTTCTTCCTGTTTTCCATTCTTGTCCTTTTGAAATGGTAATATAATTTAGCAGCTTCTTCGGATAACTGTTTCCAATCAAAATTTGTTATATAGTGGAGATCTCATTCTCTATATCATCATGATCTGTAATAATGTTTCTAGCTTTGTTAACTAGATTTAAAGCTACTGAAACTTTCTTTCTTATTGAAGGGTCTGATTTGAAAATTCAAATATTTATTTGAATGTGTCAGTTTCCTGTATATCAAAAACTTTAGTTTTTCTCGTCATTTATTGGACAGGTTAGCTTCTAGAATGTATTAGCATAAAATGTTGTATTTCCTTTAGTCTGCCTACACATAATTAACAAATCATTTTGGATATTTCCCTGTTTCCAAAATGGGGGATACTCAAACCTACCAAATATTCGAAAAAATTAATTAATTAATGCATTTTTTTAAAATCTATAACTTTATCTAAGAAAAAAAATACGGCATTTCATTATTTTTTTATTTTTTTTGTTATTTTATTCCTTTATGTTCTCGGTGGAACTAAGGGGGTCCAAGCTAGAGCTTTGCAGTTTCGGTAGCAGTAGCGTTTATCTTTACGGGATGGGATTGGTAGTATCATGCCTAGCCTTCCCTCTTTACCAGTCTTATTACTGGTTTAGCGAGGTAAAGGAGTGCGTCGGCCTGAGATCGAACCCCAAACCACATGTGTGTTTGGCAAGCCTTCTACGGGCTGTGCCACCAACACACGGTTTATTATTTAACAGTCTATAAAACAAGCACAGAAGCCCGGTAGAAAATACGCAAAAGACAAAAATATTCACATAACTTAAAAAGTAACTTGAATCTTCAATAGAATAATAAATATTAATTTTCTTTCTTTAAAAGTTTTAATAGTTTTCATATGTACATATGATTATTATCATTATTATTAATTATTACTAATTTCAAAGAATTACATTTCACAAAAAAAAGTTCAAAGAATCTCAACCTAAATTTTAACAAAATGAATAATCATAATAATAATAATGATAAATTAAATATTAAAAACTATAAACTATAACCTAATATGGGTTTGTTTAGTTAATAATCTACAGAGATGATACACATAGAAAGCCATACATACTCACCTTTCTCATATACAAAAAAGACCTTCTGTATCTATCTCACTGTGGTTACCTACGCATGCACATTATAAATAAGGATACAATGAGCACAGAATACCTTAGTTGCACAAACAAACAAACAAACAGCATAGAAAGCAAATAAATGACAATACATAATATATATGCATTCTTGACTAAATGTATTATTGATATTAATAATAATAATAAAGTTATTTAGTAAACATATGTAGAATTTGGAATCATTAGCTAACAAAAGTAGAAAAAACCACAATAGTACTAATGTTAGTCTATTTGACTGTCAGAGTACATTAAAAGAAACAAACAAAAAAAATAGCGCGAGTGTGTAGGCATATATTGTGCATATATATGTAAGTTATACAACAAAAATTTATACTTTTTCTTCACTTTTTACTCATTTTTTATTTCTCTAAAACAAAACTAGAGAAGAAATAACTTCATGATGTTGAAGTCAGGTGAAGTGAAGCCAGTCTACTAAAACTTTTAATCCACGAATGAAATTTGAAATAAAAATACACCAAATAAGTTAGAATGTCATTCTAGTATAAATTCACAATTTCATATTCAGTCTAATCACACTCACAATTACACGTGTATTCTCAACCACACTGCACCATGGTAGAACGTAAAGCAGTTATCAAGAATGCTGATATGCATGAAGATATGCAAGAGTCTGCAGTGCATACAGCTGTTGCTGCACTTGATAAATATGAAATTGAAAAAGATATTGCTGCATATGTGAAAAAAGAATTCGATCGTAAATATAATCCAAACTGGCATTGTATTGTTGGAAAACACTTTGGCAGGTAAATTATTTACTAAACCGTATTTTTATCTGAGTAATTTATATCCTATATATTTATATCAAACGATTCATCTCATACTTTTATAGACATATATATATGTATATTGATAAAACCTAATCCTTCATTAAATATATGTATATTTTAATTTCAGTTATGTAACACACGAAACCCAACACTTCATCTACTTCTACCTTCAAGATAGAGCCTTCTTACTCTTCAAATCTGGTTAGACAAAATGAATGAAAATTGAAAGAAATCAAATGAAGTCATTAGCTTACTTTTCTGCATGTCTACAAACAATTTTTAGGAGCCAACACCATTGTAAAAATACAAATTATGATTCATAATTTTATACTGTAATACTGAAACAAAAATTTAATATATTTTGTAATTTTGTTAAAGTTCAGTGAATAAATTGTATTTGCTGTTGGTTTGTAAGGTGCTTTCTTTTTCCGTTACATTTTTTGGGTATCGGTTAATATTGAATCATTGAATTAGTGTGAACATTTAAAAATTTGCCGAGACTGCTTATCAGAGCTGGATTCTATTCCACTGCTTAGTCAAACAACGAAGTTAGAAGTTTGTATTACTATTAATTCATAATAGCAACATATAAAGAGGACTAGATTGAAAATAATAGGTGTTAACATTCCTCAAATTCGATTTCACATATCTGAGTGGTTGCAACTGGCTGTTACGACTATCTGACGATTAGGGAAACAATTTTACCGCTAAAATTGGATGTAATGGCTATTAATTAGTTAGGCAAAATAACCCAGTTTCACATATTCGGTGAGATATGAAATTTAAGCGCTCAGTTCAGCATTCATTCTTACTAAATGCAAGTGAACGACTAAGTGCTTCGCATTACTGCTGAAAATTATCCTCACAACAACTTGTTAAAAAACGAGTTGGATTATAGTGATGGGTTTGTTGTAGTAAATAGTATGTTGTCCGGAAAGGCATTGTTCATCAGCATATCTGTAATGGTTTTCTAACCATGCAAATGGGTAGAATTAGTATAAGAATTGAAGTTTTATGGGAAACTGATACGGACTGTTTAGCGATTAGTGTCTAGTAGCAGAGAAAGTGGAAAAACGAAGAAACCCTTGATTTATTAAGAAGAGTGGTAATTTTATCTTAAAAGCTCAGAGAGTCATGTAAAGGAATAAATTCATTGAAATGTTAGAGCAGATAATCCACCGCAATACTGAGTTATGTCATATTCAAACGCAAACCAACTAGCCAAAAATACTTTTGTTACCAAATTATTACTTCCAGTTTTTAAAACAATTCGTTTTCGCCAACGAAGCATTTTTTAAAGACACAGTTTATATGTTACATTTAAAGATTTCAATTTGAACCTACGATAAATGGTGAAAAAAAAACCGATAATACATCACCAGTTACCAACAAATTAGTTTCATATTTCATGACGAAGACACTCCAGTTAGAGAACCGCTGAAAATCACTAAGTACTCCAGAGTTAATTAGTTCTAGGCTGAGACTACTCAGAAGTAGGCACCCATGACCTTACTGCCAGGGATGGAACCTAGGACCTTCATTTCACGAGGGGAGTTCGTTGAATCTAATGGATCATTATCATCATCGCTAGTGAGCGCCAAATTAATTTTAAAGTGTTGGTTTGTAGAGATATGACTGGTTTCAAGTTTATTCAGTAGTCCCTAGTCTTCAGATGTTCTCCAGTTGAAGTCAGTTAGTGATCAAACTTCAAATCAATCAACTACCCGCTAACCAACAATTATCAGTCTCAATTATTATTATTATTATTAGCCTCTGTTAAATTATTTGGTTAATTTGATGTCACTACTTTCAAGGCTTTGTAAGTAGCTAAACGTTCAAATAAAATAATAGTTTCGCTTACAGTTGAGGATAATATCATGCACGATTTCTCGTTATAGTGTAGACTACTTAGGTTCATGCCAAAATTTACACTCATAGTATTGTAAGTGTTCGTCTTTGAAAATTTAGACATCATTCAAATGTTGGTGATCACAAAGCTGTTTATAGTGCCATCTGATTTTGTGTAATTATGAAATAATTTTACTATAAAAATACATAAACCAGGTTACCCCGTGAGACCAGCAGTAGATTTCAGAAAAACACCCACTTATGAATTATCAAAACACTTAGCTCTTAAACTATGTCCCATTAGAAATCATTCAAACTCTCGGCTAACTAATACATATGAAATGAAAAGGAAACTTAATAACATTCAACTAGATAATAATGAAAAAATGGTTAGTTTTAATATAAATAGTCTTTACATTAATATACCAATCAACATGGCCATAGAAGCGGTTAAAAGAGAACTAACTTCTGATCCCTAACTAAGTCACAGGACAAAGCTTCCCATTGATAAAATTATTTCAGGAATTCAATTATGCCTTACGTCAACTATCTTTAAATTTAAGGGCAAAATAGAGGGACAAACATTAGGTGTAGCAATGAGATCACTAATATCCCCAATAACGGCAGATATCCTTATGGATAGGTAGGAAAATACTGCTCTTAATGCATTTAATCCTACTGCAAAGATATGGTGGAGACATGTGGATGACACTTTCACAGTGTTAAAAGTAGAACACACATCTAGCTTCTTCACACACATCAACACAAAAGTAAAGAGAATAAGATTCACATTTCTATCGGAAAATTAACAGGGAGACTTAGCTTTGTGATTATATTAGATGGTTGGAGACAATCGGCAGGAAGCCTTGAACCTAAGTTTTGTGCTAGTTGGCAGTCATCAGCAAGGCGTATCTGTAACCTTGAAGGGACTCATGTCCCTTCTGAGATTCGAACCCGCGTCACCCAGTTCTGCAGTCAGAGACGTTACCACTGAGCTATTCGAGCTCGCGATTGACCTTCTGTAGGACTGTAGTGGATATTTTGATTTGACACTGGTAACTAATGTGATGCGTCTAGTCCTCTCTTTGGTGCAGACTGAATTCTATCAGTCAGGTTGTAATGTGGCCACCATTCTAGGTAGCTCGCTATCACGGTGTACATTGTTTGTGATGATATTAGATGGTTGGAGGCAATCGGCAATCGCGCCAACTAGCACGAAACCTAGGTCCAAGGCTTCCTGCCGATTGCCTCCAACCATCTAATATCATCACAAACAATGTACACCGTGATAGCGAGCTACCTAGAATGGTGGCCACATTACAACCTGACTGATAGAATTCAGTCTGCACCAAAGAGAGGACTAGACGCATCACATTAGTTACCAGTGTCAAATCAAAAGATTTAGCTTTGTTAGATTGTGAAATAAAACCAGCGGTAGAAGGTAGACTGCACACTAGCGTCTATAAAAGGCCAACGCATTCTAATAGATATTTTGAATTAAATTCATCTCACCCTTTGTCTGTAGAAGTAGACTCAGTTAAATATCTAACAAACCGAGCAGTAGCACTAAGTAGTATAAAAAAGGCCTAAATAATGAAATAAAACAGATAGGAGAAGCGTTGTCATTTATTAACTATCCTATAATATTCATTAGGAAGATCAAAAATGATCAAAGGCAAAACAAAAATAATGGTGAAATAATAATGATAACATAAATAAGAGAGAACATATGGCATCTATAGTTCTACCATATAAGGAGGGGACATCTGAGGCCCTACGTGGGATTCTCAACAAAGCATTAATTAGGGTGGTGTCATTCAAACCTACAAACTCACTCAGAGACAAGCTCTGTAGGCTAATGAACCCGGTGGATCCACTTAAACAAAGTAATAAAATACCTTGCAATGACTGTGAGTTAAGCCAACTAGGATAGGTCAGACTAGAAGATCAAGGGTAGTCAGGCTGTAAGAACATAGGAATTTAGCTGAAGTTAGAATAATTTACCCCTCGAGGATGAGTAATTTAGAAAACAACTAAACAATAGCACTGCATGTATCAACACACAACCAGACAATAGAGTGGGACAGAGTCGAAATTCTAAAGAGTAATAAAGGTAGGTGAAGAGAGGAGGTTGATTACCTAATGTTTGTTCATAGAGTTTACACCCGACATATGCAGCAGGAATCACTCATCACTCATACCGGAAATATGGAAAATACTACTACAAATCAAGTCAATAGATGAAAAATAATAGAATTATATAAACGAAGTTAGAAAGTTGTGTGAGGAGTACCTTGACATGATCATGAGCAATAAATGGTGCTCGAAACGTCATCAGTAAACATTATTTACTGCATAACACTGTGAGACTTTATCAAAATAAATTTTACTGACAATGGAATTGTAACGTCCAAAACTGGTTTGCTCTTTTTTGAACACAAGGAACCGATATTCGCGCTTAATTGCATTGCTGGCCGAAACCTCCCTGAATTTCTCACAGTCACAAAATGCCCCAATGACAGCAAAAACACAGTTAACATAAATAATATATCTTTATTCGTGTTAACGAATGAATAAGCATCCAGTAATTTTGTACACAGCTATACAACTATCAGCACACTATAGTGCGAATATTACTGAAATCTTCCGAGCTTACTCTGACAGACAACTCAGGGTTAGATGTGTATTATCTTTTATTATTACTACTAGTTTTAATGCGTAGTTTTAAAAAATATTATAACTTCACTACCACATGTGTGATTCATCACAGCTAATCGTATAAGTCTTGATTATTCAAGAGCATTGGAACTGTTTCAAAATCCCAGTGCATTCATATTTCAGTGTTTGTGAACAGCTCAGCAACTGTAACAACCCGAACCGACGTACTGAAGTCTCATTTCAGGAATCCGAGCTTTGTTTTCTACTGCGCAGATGACCGAATGTACTGCATGTTCCTTAATGTTTCACGCAAGTCTTTTATTGATTTTATTCATATTTCTAATCAATTTTTACTCATATATATAAACGAAGCAAAAATGTTGCGTGATTACCTTGATAGGATTATGAGCAGAAATAAATTGTGCTCGAAACGTCATCAGTAAATATTACTCACTGTATAACACTGTATGACTTTATCAAAGTAAAATTTTATCCATAATGGAATTATACTTTACCACAGTGTCCAAGTTTTACCCTTGAATTAATTTTCCATTATGTTAGATGTATGTTATTTCAGAGTTATCGCCAAGATAGGCATATGGGAAGTACTACAAGAACTGAGTTTTGCTGAAAGGTTTATGTATTAGATAGTCACATGTAGTCCTCTGCAGTGAAGTTGTTAGGTAGATGATTCTGTGCAGATTCTTCACACTGCGATTTATGTTCAAGAATATAGGCTTGAGCCAGCGTTAATCTTTTCCTATCAGTTATCTGTTAGTTACTTTCCCAAATGAACTTAAAGAAAACTAAGACAACACTCCGAGTTCATCTCGCGAATGGATCTCTTGTGAAAAGAACCAATACAATGGAGTAATATATTTTGTCTCCAAGTTTTTGTGCTTTCCT